TAGATATCAGAACACTAACAGATGTTTATTTTACTTTCTCTTATTTCTATGGCTTTAGGCTATTTGTGAAAGCCTGTGTGAGGATGCATGGATTTTTAAACCTCTGATCATGTTTATTTTTTTGGTTGTATTATAAGGTATAACATGATTAACTTGTGAAAACATCAAAATAAATGAGACAAGATATCAGAATGCAACATCTGTTCTGGGCCAGAAGCATGTTTTGTACTTCAGTAACATTTAAGGGCAACTTAAATGTAAAAAGCATAAGGATGTCTGTCCAACTTTCTGTTCAATTCTGGAAGGATTTTGTTTCTGCCAAGTAACCAAACTTTACAGTGATTTTAAACTTACTTAAGTTTTATGGAGGACTGACTCTGCCATATATAAAAATAAAAACAGAAATAAATAAATGCCCAATAAATAAATAATAATACAATTAATTGCCACCAAAAATACAATAAACAAATAAATGTAAGTAGAAATTAAATTATACAGTGAGACATAAATGTATATAACTCTTTTAATTAGCTTTAAAACTTACATTTTTAAAACTTACATTTTTAAGTACGTATTTATGTGCTGGTTATAATATTTTTGTCTGTTTTTTCTTCCTTTGTATTTTTTTACCCTAGTTATTTCTCCGCCGTTATTTCTTTCTGCCTGCCCTTTTTACATTTCTGCATTTATTTATTTCTGTATTTATTTTTATATATGGCAGTCAGTCCTCCATAAAGATTCAGTTTCTTTGGGTTTTTTTGCCTCTGTATCTATTTCAACTTCAATGAGTAAGGAAACGGGTAGTGAGAAAAGAGTTTTGTTGACTAGTAATTCATGCAAATCAGGATTTTGTTGAACTACACCAGTTTCCTGTTTTGAGTAAAATCTTACCTCCAGATTGTGATTTTTGAATTAATACGAATGTAGCGTTAAAAATAGGAAACTGTGCTGCAGATTCTTTGCTGGAGTCTGTACTTTTGAAGATAGTAAGGGAGGAATTATAAGGTTGTCAGTGTTTATTTACTTCATGCTGTTAGCTGAAGTGTTTAAAGAACAAAAAATGCATTTATTTTTTAAGCATTTGATGAGTAAGAAAAAAAAAAGATTTTGAATGAGTAGCCGATTTAAACCATTTTATGTAGCATGAGAAAAACCTGATGCTGTCATTCTAGTTTTATAGAAAAACCCATTAAACCTGCAACCCTGACCTGGGTGGGGTTGAGTTTAACTAGAGCTTGCTAACAGACCCTTTAAATGTAGCTGTGATATAACAGTGTGTCTTTTTTGTGTTTTTTGAGTACATGTGTTTGTTTTGTTTTCTTTCCAGTTGTCCTGATTGGAGATTCAGGTGTGGGGAAGAGTAACCTGCTGTCCCGTTTCACCCGAAACGAGTTCAACCTGGAGAGCAAGAGCACCATAGGGGTGGAGTTCGCCACCCGCAGCATCCAGGTGGACGGAAAGACAATAAAGGCTCAGATCTGGGACACGGCAGGACAGGAGCGCTACAGAGCCATCACCTCAGCGTGAGTTGATGTTATATTAGTTTGATTTAGAAATATGTCTTCTGGTTAAAGATTGTATTTCAGGTTGTCCTGATGTTTATACTCTGTTTTAATTGCCATGTAAGTTCCTTTAATTATCTGGCTTTTTCAGCAGATAATTCTGGTTATATTTCTGTATATACAGGAAAAGAGCAACACAGTTTGCCATTTATTATAGATGTTAAACATTTAAAACATCCTTTTGTATTTTATATCATCCTGCTTACTCTTTCCTCTCCTCCCTTACCCTAAGGTATTACCGGGGGGCCGTCGGAGCGCTCCTAGTTTACGACATCGCCAAGCACTTGACGTACGAGAACGTGGAGCGCTGGCTGAAGGAGCTGAGGGACCACGCCGACAACAACATCGTCATCATGCTGGTGGGGAACAAGAGCGACCTCCGCCACCTCAGGGCCGTTCCTACCGACGAGGCGCGAGCGTTCGCAGGTAAGTTGTTAAATTAGTTCAATTCAATTCAGTTTATTTCTTTAGCGCCGATTCACAACACATGTCATCTCAGGTCACTTTCCAGTTCACCAGATCATCCAGTCAGATTGATTATAAATTTTCTATCTAAGGAAAACCAGCTGATTGCATTGACTGATTGACTCGAAAGCAATCCCTCACACCAGTAATGCTTGTAGCGACAGTGGATCACATGGCGGCTTTGACATTTTGACATCAGTCATTGGCCTTCTCTTCTTCCATTTCCAGGATTAAAATACAATCAGGAGAAATGTTACACAAGTCTGAGTCTAAACAGAAAAACACATTTATTAAGACAACAAACAAAACATTAACAGTCGATGGCAAACAGAGTGACCATTCATGAGCCTCAGCTGATCTCAAGGCATTGCTGCTGAATGTACTAATAAATCAGCCCAAATTCATAAATAAATCAGCATGTATCGATCAGCTGGAGTATCGGTCTCTCTCTAGTAAATACCCTAATAAACTGACCTTCAGTTGACCCTCTTGTTGGATCCGATTAGAGACTAAAGTGGCAAGAATCTTAAGTTTTGAACTGTACTACCAGATTACTATCCTTGCCAATCAGCCAGTTCCTTGTCATACCATCCATACTTCATTTTTCTTTATTTAACCAGGTAAACACCGTTGAGATCTGGATCTCATTTCAAGGGGGACCTGGGCAGAGATCTGCAAATACTTAAAGACCCTGTCACACGTCTGTGTTTTTCCCAGATTGGCTAAGTCGTCCAGGTGTGACAGGGGGTTAAACTAAGCGTAACACATTTTACTTTTTGTAAATCTGCTAAAAAAGAGGTTGCAAAGGATCCTATTTAGTGCATTTTAATCTTGGTGTGGTTTCAGGTTCTCACATCTGTAAAGCCTGCAGTCGTACCAAAAATATTTCTCTTTTGTCCTGAGTTCAGCTGCTCTGGTGCATAACATAAAAGTTTTTGATCCATTTATATATTCTAAAACTTTAGTGTAATTCAGTCTTTGAAGAAGTTGTTAAAATCCTTCAGAACTCAGCTGTTTAATAAGATGCTTTATCCGCTGTTTGTTTTGATATGGTTATTTCCTGTTTAAACCACAAAAGTTAAATAAATCCTGGTTTTATCTTTCTTTTTCTGTCACTTTTAGAAAAAAACACCTTGTCCTTTATTGAAACGTCAGCCCTGGACTCCACTAATGTAGAAGAGGCATTTAAGAACATTCTCTCAGGTAGGAAAGAGGAGTTACACCTCGTTCAGTTTGATACAAACAACTTCTATCTCAACTCCTGCTTGTTGATTTCCTCCCACAGAAATCTACCGGATCGTATCTCAGAGGCAAATATCAGACAGATCTGCACACGACGACTCCCCAGGCAACAATGTTGTGGACATCAGCGTCCCCCCGACCATGGACGGTCAAAGGGGCAACAAACTCCCCTGCTGTCAAAGCCTGTGACCCTCATGTGTTTTCTGCCCGTCTCTTCTGTTCTCCTCTTTGATTTTCTTCCAACTGCCCGCTTCTCTGATTAAGTTCTCCTGTTTAAATGATGTCAGATCTTTAATTTGACTTTCTGTTTTTTTTTCTATTTGTCTTTCTTTTGGTTTCTAAGACATCTTACGTATTTGTGTGGCCAGGTGGAGGGCGCTTCAGGCCAGTGGCTCTTTTAGTAAACTACAGTCTCTTTCTGATGATCCTATTGACCCGCTCCTGCAGAGGGACTGGTGAGGGATCAGCAGGTCTGCTTATCGCACTCCACCTCTATCCGCTCGTCTCCTCTTCCAAGACTGTGTAAAGACTCATGACACGGTTTTCCACAGTGAAAACTTTTATCTCCTGTGTGCTTGGCCTGATTCCTCCCTTTCCTGCTGTAGAGGAGGAACTGAGGATGGAGAAGGTCTGCTCTGGGTGGAGGTGTGACATTTCTGCTCTCTACTTTGAGCCCTTTGCCCATTCTGTTATTAAATGGGCATGAGCCAGATATGAGGCTGGCTGTGACTGCCTGATTTAATGTGGGCAGATGGGAAACAAATGCTGTGATTTAATTGTATGTGTGTTGATCTTAGAGCACAAAGATACCAAAGGAAACTATTGCAGTTCTTATGCATTTTCTAGGCTGTTGGCAAGAAAAAACAAAGGTTAACTCTTTATAGAGAAGCTATTTTCTGCTGATTCTTGTCCTTTACTTCAATTTGACTCTTTGGCTTTCTCCAAATCCATGTTTTTGCACTAATGTCCAGCAATTTCGCAGAAATTCATCCTATCATCATTTCAGACCCTTGGAAAACACCAGGACTGCTGTGTTTGTACTGGGGAATTTATCAGCTGCTGCTGTAATTTCGAATGTGTTAAATGTTAAACAGGACTGGGTTTAAAATCTAATTAATCCAAGGACATTTCAATCAACATAAAAAAAAAAAAAATGCTTAATTCAACCTTTTAACTTTTTACACTAAGCTGAGAAAAAAATACATGAAACAATCATTTCATTAAATGGATAAAAGGGCCTTTTTTTTCTTTTTAGAAAAAATAAGCTTCGTGTTCAGTTTATCCAATGTGATTGTTAGCATTTCCTCAAAAGTAAATGCATGTGAAGTGAGCAGTACTTTTACATTGTTTATGAGATGTTGAAATAAAGTGTGTGTAAACCGCTTGACTGAATAGTAAGCAGTTATTGCACAGCGCTGTCTATTCTAAGCTTCTCTGCAAGTGTTTGTTTGGTTCAGAGCCAGGTGAGGTTTTAAAACGATATTCCTAATGTTCAGCATCCTCCAGAGCATTTTTAATCCGTGGTTCTTCAAAAAGTATGGCAGACCTGTTAAATAAAATACCAAAATATCACAGGTCACATGGATCAACAAATCAGGTCGAGGGTTTTGTTGGTAGAACTCCACAATGTAGCCTTTATTTCAGTGTTTTATTGTCATTACACTGTCACAAGTACAACGCAACAAAATTAACTCTCTGCATTTAACCCATCCAGTTGGGGAGCAGTGGGCTGCCATCATGCAGCGCCCAGGGAGCGGTGTGGGGTTAAGAGTCTTTGCTGAGGGACCCAGAGTGGCCAACCACTTCATGTAAGGGTAGCAAAAAAAAAAAAAAAAAGAAGGTTCCAGTGTGTTTTTCCACTCCAGGTTTTCAAGATCTATATAAATCTTTAGACTAAAAGGATGTTGATGGTGGTTGATGCACACTAAACATTACCTACATCCAATATGAAAAAACAATGGTGACGGCATCATGCTGTGGGCAGGGGGGGATTTATCATTAGGCAAAAAAAGGCGGTTGCCTAGGTCCGAAGTTCCTGGGGGCCCCATAAAACTCCTTTTACATGTATGCTTAATACAGCTATTAATTATTTGTGCACATTAATTATGTTTTTGATAAAAATAACTGTTAAAATGCCACCATATTGGATCCGTCCATTTGCTGCACATGTTCAGAAAGGTCCAAACAGACAGCAGCAAACCATTTGAAAACAAATGGTGCTAACTTAGCGCTTTTGTCGCTATATTTAGTGTTTTTTCAGACCCCTCTAGCACTTTTTTTTTTTTAAGCGCCTAGCACCAAATCTAGAGACTTCTTTTCTGCTACTGGAGACTTTGGAGACAACATCTAAAAGCAGCGAACTCTGCTCTCCAGAGCAAGTAGATTGGTAACCCCGCCTCCTGCTCTCCTCTATCTTGTCTGCTGTCATGATTCATGCAGCTATTATTTCATCCAAATGAAAAATGGAGAACAGATAAGCAGATCATGGCTTGTCTACAGTGAAAAGAAGGACTGGGTTATTTACTTTTGCCGTTGCCTTTTTGTGTAATCGGCTAAGTCAGAATGGGCTTAGTGATTGGAAAAGAATCTTTCATTCCTTGTGAGACAGCATGAAAAGTCAGCTGTGTACATTGCCAATATGAAAAGAAAAAAGGACAAGAAGAAAGGGAGCAAAGGTAGAACAAATAGTGTACGTCTATTCTATTAAAATGTCTGTATAATGGGTTTGTTTTATGTGTTGTCTTCTCAATTCAGAGGGCCCCCTGCCTCTCTTTGCCTAGAGCCCCAAATGTCCTAAATCCGCCCCTGGCTGTGGGTAGCAGAACATTAATTATTTACTAGATTCAAACACATTAATGTATAATATTAGAAGACTGGGAAACATTTTCTTTGAAACACATTTTCTCCTCCACCTTACAACTCCATGGTGCTGCTTTATGTTCTTACTAAAATCCCAATAAGTTTGAAAATACTTTTTATTCATGCAAATATGTCTTATAAATCATATAATAGTCGTTTTATGAGCTTAAGCGCGTGTCCTTTGTCCTGGGTGTTTACAAGGCGGGGTTAATTGTTTCTGACAGTTGGAGCCCATGATGGGCCTGTTTATTTCCAGATGAGAGTATGGTTAGGCCCCGCCCACTGACGCTCAGCTGTCTCCTCCCCCCTCCCCGCATAACCACCCAGCTGCAGACGAAGCGGAGCCTCGAGGAAAGCGGAAGCTCGCGCTCGCTGCTGACTGACAGTAGAGCGACAGAGATAGCGCTGCTAGCCAGTTAGCACACACAGCTCCGGTTGAGCCGCTGCACCCACGTTAAGGTTCATTTCTTCCTTCCTACAGTGAAAATGAAAGTAAGGAGACAAAGCCAGCTTTTATGGGCGCCGCTGAAACGCCGCTGAAGACCGGCAGACGGAGGTGAGTAATGGTTGGCTGGTTTGCTTTCTAACGGTCTGTTAGCATTTGGTCTCTGACAGCTAGCTTACGGCTCTGTAACACGTTTAATAAACATTAAAAAAAATAAGGAAACTAGTTGCGCAGCGAAGCAAAGCCATTAGGAGGGGTTTCCTGTGTTTATTCACAGTCTGTGGTGTTTGCTTTCAGCACCATAACCCTGCTACTGTGCTCCAGACATTAGTCTGTATCAAAGCTCCAGCGTCTGTCTGCAGCTTTCATATTACCTGGTTATAGCCAGAGCTATCAGATAATCTACGCTTCTCCGTTTACCATTTATCCTGACTAATTGGTTCGGCTGATTTTAGATAATTACTGTCTTTAGTTAAAAGGTAAAATGACATTTGGAAAATAAATCCAGTGTTTAGACTCTGCCTGTGTTTGAGCAGACAGTGAGGGACTGATTAGGCTCAACTGTTGTGTCTGATTTTGAGAGGAGGGGGGTTACCTCTTTGTTTATCTGGGTCAATGTTTGTGACACATATTCGTGACCAAATGTTTCAGTCCACAGAAAAAACAAATAGACTGAGTATTATTTTAATTCAGCAGATCAGGAGGAACGTTTAAGATTTGGGTTGATTTAGGAAGCATGTAGTCTCTGATGAAGGTGCTGCTGTGTTGGCATAGCTCTCAGTCTCATGGTGAAGCTTTTAGACTCATTTTATTTTTTGGCATTACTGTTTCAGGCTGATTAGTAACTTTTTAACGTTCCTTTGTCAAAAAAACGTTCATATTTATAAAAGAAAAAGAAGGTGACCGAGCAAAAACATTAAATTCACTTTACAACCCAGCTATAAATTAGTCACAGATTTGAACAAGAAGCACACTTGATGTTTAATTAATGTCAGCAAGTACTTAATTTTTTTAGATGTCATTTTCTGTTTAATGTTAATATAGAAAGTATGTTTCTGCAGTGAATGTAGGCCAATGCTGATGCTATCTGCGTTCAGAGGGTTATCTGGAGGCAAACAGCTGGTTATCAGTGGGCCACATGGTCACTGGCACCAGTCAAGACTTTAAAAAGAATCAGCAGCTGCTTTTTTGAGGCGAGAAAAGCGGGTCGGTTTCCAAACAAGCTGCTTTTTCCTAGCTGATATAATCCTTTTCTTCAGAAGTGTTTTTCTGCTGACATGACAGGAAGTGAATTCATAATTTCCCACTTAAATGACTCAGGATGTTGAGTAAGAATAACCCGGCATTCGTGTCAGGATATATTTCCAAACATGGCAAATTTGGCTTTTGCTCAATCGAGGAGGGAAAAGTTGGAGCCTTCCTTTTAGTATTCACTGCTTTAAAAAAAACAAAAAAGAAGAAAAAAGCCATTCTTCTTCCTCTGGCATGCATTATTATTGCTGATTTTATATGACTGTAAGGCAAGGGAAGTTTATTTGTATAGCACAAACCAGTACATGGACAAATCAAAGTGCTTTACATGAATTAGATGATAAAATAGAAGGAAAAAAAAGGCAAAAACTTTTGTAAAACAATTGGACCACAAAAAAGGAGAATAAAAGCAAGAAAAAAAGCTTGATAAAAGCAGGTAATAAACAGATGGATCACAATCTTAAACTTATAATACTTCAGTTAACAGCTCTAAAGAAATGGGTTTTTAACCCAGGCTTTCATCACTTTTCCACTCCTCTGGAATTTGTTCCAGATCAGTGGAGCATAGATGCTGCTTCTCCGTGTTTGGTTCTAGTTCTGGGTGAACAGAGTAGGCTGGAACTAGAAGACCTGAGTGGTCTGGGAGGTTGATCCGCTGACAACAGATCTGTTATGGATTCGAAGAGCTGATAAAGGCTGAAACAATTAATCGGATTAATCAATTATTGAAATAATCAACTAATTTAGTAAATGGTTATTCATTAGCTGATGTATAGAGTCTCTTAAACATGCCTTTAGCTGACAGAGCGACCCACTAAGAGGAGTAGTTATAATCAAAATTTTAAAATAATATATATAAACATTTTGCTTTTAAGATTAAAAAAGACGTCACTCTGCTCTGTCCTCCAGAACTCCTGAAATGGAAAAGTTTTAGTTTCACCTGGTTTATTTTCTTAAAAAGTCTTCTTTCAGGAATCTTTGGCTATCTGATTATTAATTAATGAATCGAAACAAATAATCAATATTAATTGATTTGCAAAATAATTATTTGCAGCTCTATTGCTGATCCATTCACAGATTTAAAAGCTAACAGAAATGTTTTAAAGTCCGTTCTCTGAGCTACAGGGAGGCAGTGGAAGGACTTCAGAAAGCTGCTGTTATCATGACTTCTGCCACTAATAACATTAATACTGCTTTAACTGCTACCGCTATTATTGTTACAGCTGTTAATACAATAATTTTTTTAATGAACTTTATGATCACCACATTTTCTCCCCTCTGAATTGATGACTATCTTGTCATTTACCGAAAAACTGTAGATTTAGCTCACCGAAAACAAATGTTTATATCTTTTTAAAAGGGCAATATGTTATTCAGTTTCTTTTATTTTCAAAGGTGTTCATATCCATTTTCTTTCATGTTTGCACGCTTTTTGTTTACACATAAACAACGTTGTTAATGTCTTCTTTGTAGAGACATTGTTCTGTTGCGGAGTACGTACGTACGTATCGCCCACCCCTCCTCTTTGACTCATCCATCACAACCCTACGCCATTGGTTCTGCCTGTGCAGCCAGAGCCTGGACGCAGGTGGCGCAGTGACCATGACAACAGGCGGATGCTGCCACCTGCCCGGCTCCCTGTGTGACTGCACCGGCACGGCGGGTCTGTGGAAGACGGTCGAGGAAACGGCTGGCGAAGGATGCCAGGCGCTCTATGTCACTCAGGTGACGGCCCTGGATGGACGGCTGCTGTCCTCGGTGCTCAAACCCATGAGCGTTCAAAGGTAGGGCCCGTTAAAAAAAATAAAAAATGTTTCTATGTGGTTCAGGATCAGTCATTTCACCTAAATATTTCAATTTTGGATCAGCGATGGTCCCATCTGCCGTATCTGCCACGAAGGAGGCAGCAGCGAGGGTCTCCTGTCGCCGTGCGACTGCACGGGCACGCTGGGCACGGTGCATAAGAGCTGCCTGGAGAAGTGGCTGTCATCTTCCAACACCAACTACTGTGAGCTGTGTCACACAGAGTTCAGCATCGAGAGGCGACCCCGGCCTCTCACAGAGGTAACAAAGGTCAATGTCCTCCGCTTTGTCTGCATGCGTCTGCACGTTGTCCTCTGCTTCATCCAGAATAGCTTTGCCTGCTACACCAACTCATCCATTGAAGGTTTTACCTTCCTGCTTTTTTTTAACATTCCCTTCCTGTCGTGTTCACTCCACAGTGGCTGCATGACCCCGGCCCTCGCAACGAAAAGAGGACGCTGTTCTGCGACATGGTGTGCTTCCTTTTCATCACGCCTCTAGCGGCCATTTCTGGCTGGCTGTGCCTGCGGGGAGCTCAGGACCATCTCCACATGGGGAGCTGGCTGCAGGCCGTGGGGCTCATCGCGCTCACCATTGCCCTCTTCACCATCTACGTCCTCTGGACTCTGGTAAAGCAGGTTCTCACACGGCTCTGTTTACGGCATCCTAACCTTCACGCTTCTCACCTGTATTTATCCGTTTCCAGGTATCTTTCCGCTACCACTGTCAGCTTTACTCCGAGTGGAGAAGAACAAATCAGAAAGTACGTCTCCTCATTCCCGAAGCGAAGGAGTCTAACTCTTCCCAGCATTCCTTGCTCTCTAACAAACTGAAGAAGTCTGCCAGTGAGAGTATGGTATGAGAGCAGATGCAGACATGTGGGATTCATGGCTGGACTTCAGACGCACTTCTAGGCTCTTTGTTTATTTTCCTTTTGTTTAGCCTGCTGCCATGTTGCTTCTCACAATCTGCAGAAAGAACCACGGTTTCATTGAGTACTTTATGTTTCTCATCTTGGATTTGGAGGTTTGATGAAGATTATGCAAAAAAGACAAGATGGAGACGGCATGGGTCGTTAAAAACTTCTTCTGCCTCCTCAGCATGGATGATGGGAGGAGCTCCAGCCACAGTTACCAGGGCTGAGACTGTCCCTTATAGGTGGGCAGCCACTAAGTGGACGTTTGGTGCCTTGCAAAAGTATTCACACCCCTGATGTTTTACACATTTTTAAACGTTACAAATTAAAAAAAGACGCTAACTGTGAAGTGGAGCATTTGTTACCAGATTACACATAGTTTGTAACTCTAACTTATCAGTATTTAAAGGAGTATGAAAACCTTTGCAAGACAGTGGAAGAATTTTTCTAGCGTGTGGAGAACGGTGGCTGCAGCCCACACATAATTTAAGGTGGACGTGTTTGAACCTGCTTTGGCTTTTCATCCTTTCCTGCTTGCAGTATGCCGTCATATTACTGTTACTGGGAGTCGGAAAAGCCCCTGATTTAGATTTATACTTCACGATCCAAATGTTCCCAAGCAGCCTGAGCTTAAACCGCAGCTCAATTTTGAATTTCTCGTGTAGCGCGGGATGACTGCGTAACATGAGATTGTGCAATAAGAACACTGTGAAGCCCAGGCTTTTTACTGTAAACGAGTCCAACTAGCACAGTTATGCATGCAAGCTGCACAGTTGGGGATTTTTATTTCTTCAATTTTTTTCCTGGCTAGATTTACAGTTTCCAACTGTAGCAGGCTTTAATGGCGTCATCATGTAGGGTTTTTATTATCAGCACTTAATTATAAGGAGTTTATTTAGCAGGACAGAAAAGCAACTGTTTTTAAGGAGAAATAAATATCCTTTTTTTGTTTTCTTGGTTATGTTGTAAATGTACATTTTGCCAAAAGTTACATCAGATTTCGACGCTCTCCAAACAATCTTTATCGTTTATTTTAGTACTACACCCGAATGTGTTGGATTTCTTCAAAACTGTGGAAGCAGCTAATTTAATCTAGATATTTAGATAACGATGGTCCTAAAGAACCTCAATGAAATAACTTAAACAAGAAAAGTACAAAACTCAATGCTGCTTACAGCTTTTTGGATTTGGGGAAAATAAATTGGATCACTTTAATTATGACCTTTTTTCTTAAGGTTTCCAGAAAGCTTTTATGGAATTTAATTCATGTTTGCATTTAGGATTAATTTCACCAAACAAACCTACATCAGTAGTAAAAAGGCAGATAAACTGATTTGGTTTTACACAAAATATTTTTTGACTTTTTTAATTTTAACTTAAATACATTTACAGTTTGATCTTGTTCACTTTGAAAGGTGTGATGATGCTAAGATGTCCTCGCATACTTCATGCCGTGGCTCTGGTTAAATATTTGGTCTTATTTTCGTCTTTTTTTTTCTATAAAAAATAGAAAATATTAAAATATAAATTTTGTTCATCTAGTTTTTCCACATTGTGTAAAAATTATGCAAAACTGCCCTGTTTTGGCGACAGCGTTACCATAGAGACGCCTTTTTTTTTTTTTTTTCGGGTGGATGGATATATTTTTCTATTCATAAGGATATATGTAGTTTATTTTTTTTTTTTTTTTTTTTAGCTGTTGTCGTTCTTTAATCTTTATGTATTGAAACCTTGAAATGTCATCAAACAAGAAGATTGTAAATAATATTTTTTTGGGTTGTGTACATTAATGAACATAGAAATGTCACTTGAATTGCTTTTCTAACACTTTGGCCTCTTTTTATTAAGAGGCAGGATTGTTTGTATTTCATAGGATGAGTGTCGGTTCTTTGTTTCTGAAGTTGTTTTCTGATACGATGACTTTGACGTCCTGCTACCTTCAATCAGCCAAGAATTGTTTGGTAAGATGTAATAATAAATTTGGAGTGAGTATTAATCTAGAAAGCGTACTGTTTGCTGATTGTGTTGTTGTACTAATGATTAAAAAAAAAAAAGCTTGTTTACATCTAATCCTCTGTCCTCGGCACAGAGGGAAGGGGCTCATCTGTTTTGGTCAACAGCTCGTTAATCCTGATGGAAAACAAACTGCTAATCTGAAGTTTTACTGTGAAATCAGTCACTTCTCATCATCCGGTCGCCTGAATAAGCAGCTTAGGTGGAGAAGCATGAGTTAAAAGTATTAGGTTTGTTTATGTTGTTGTCAGTCTGATCTTTTAGGGGTAGAAAACAAATTCAGACAAGAAAAAAACATCCCCCCTTCTTTGTGTTTTGGAGTTTTGTTCACATCCATCCTTTATCTGCAGCCTATTATGACTGTTTATAGAAAACTGGTTTCATTCTTTCTTTACTGCAGATTAAATTGCTCCCAGAAATATACTGATTTTGACTCATTAACACAAAAAATCACTATTGAATGGTATTTATAGGAAATCTAAACACTGGTAAAATTATGGCTCATTTCATGAGCATAAAAAAGAGGCTTCTTTATTTTAAACATTCACAGAACTAAAAACTTTGATTTCTTAGTTAATCACTGAAATATGCAGTATTTTGCTAATATAAAAGCCCATATTTAACCTTTGCTATTTTTTTTGTTCTAAAAAGAAATATCAAACCTAGTCTAAATTTAAACCAGTGACAGCAGCTCTAAACTTATTTTCCTTTTCCGCTTAAATTCAGCCCCTAAATCCTCCTTTTGCTGCAGTCCTTTTAGTGGAGGTGTTTTTCTGCGCCCAAAGTACCATTTTGATCCCATTTGTTGGTTCCAGCATTCAGACTGGATGAGATTTTCCTAAATTTATCCTTTTATTATTAATAATATCAGGCTTCCACCACATTTAGGGGAAAAAAAAATCACTTCAGCATTAGTCTGACCAGTCCATAGCTGTTTATCTCCATGTCAGCTGTGACCTCAGCATGTCTAAATGGGACTCTCCTTTTATAACTTATGGTTCTACCAGAGCTGTGAATCTCTACAGCTCCTCCAGAGTTACCTTGAACCTCTTTCCATCAGAGCAGTTTTATATAAACCTTCCTCTCTGACCCATCTGCTGTTGTTCCAACAGACCTCTGAATTCTTTACGGGAAGAAACATTTTCTTCGGTATATTTGCTATAGCCTTAGGTACTCAGTGTTGTAACATGTTTTACTAGCAGAGTAATGAAGACCTAAAAAAAAAAGTGCTTTTTTTTTTTTTTTTTACCTCAGACTTCAAAGCAAAACAGGCAGGAAGATTCAGAAGTTACTCAGACCGTCATACAACTTACCAGGGAATACTTTTAAGGATTTTTTTTTAGCTAACAATCTGTTAAATTATTCTTCAGATAGCAAAAATATGCTGAACAGAATTTATAACTACACAACCTCTGGATTTTTGGATAGAGCATGTTTTGGTAATGTTTGCTTATTCGGTGTCCTTGTGCTCTGAGAAGGTTCGATTCCCACAGCTTCCACTCTGAGTTCCTGAGCAAAACCTTTAACCCCACACTGCTCCCCAGGCGCCGCACAATGGCAGCCCACTGCTCCCAAAGGGGAGGGGTTTAATGCAGAGAGTGGATTTCTCTAATGTGAGATCAATAAAGTTAAATTATCATAACGAGGTTTTCCCTCTTAACTAAAAAGTTTTTCTTGAACAGTTTTGGCTTAACTATAACTCTGAGTTTTTATTTCAGTAAATTAAATGTTATGGATTTTTTACACTAAGCCATTAATTCATTACTAAATTATTTGGCTTTTTTTTTCATTTAGCTGATTGGTTGAACCCTAAATCATTATTATTAAAAATGCTTAGGTAAATGCATGTTTAGGTGGTATTTTCGTTTGTATAAAAATTTCTAGAAAGCTGCTATAGTAGAATGTTAACTAATCTGTAACGTACCTTCTAATAGTAACTAAAGGAAAAATTCTGACGTGTTTATAACAATAAATAAGCAGAAACTTCTGACTGAAAGCTGCATCAGTGAGCGATAATCAAACCGTCTTTGGTCTCTAATGTGTAGCTCAGCTGGAAGCTGCAAAGATGCATAAAACCAAACGAGGTTCGGCTTCACGTGAACGACATCACATCCAACAAAGTGCTTCAGTCAAGAGTTTTATTGTAAATTTACAGTTTTTCAACTGAAAGTAAGACAATGACAAATTAAGCCGACTTGTTTTGTTTTCAATAAATATTTAGTGAGAATATTTTTGGCATGATGACAGATGGGAGTAAGAAGCACACTGTCAAACATTGAATACTGCTTCATCAGGCTGAATAACTATTTAGTTCATTTACACAGCACCATCTAGTGGCGAGCACTGAAATGCATTTCCTAACCTTGCTGTACTGACAGCTTTACAGTAGGGTTCAAACAGCTTTATTACAGCAGCAGCGATGGCCTCCATCCTTCACTCTGACTCCACGATCAACTCGATGGACGTAAAAGGCTTCTGAAATGTTTCCCTCATGGCGAAGGAGAAGAGCACGAGTGACTTTCAAAGTATTACTACGAAATAAAAGGCAAAACCTTTGAGGAAAATGGAAAAAAACAAAAACAAAACAGGAGCAAGATAAAGTAAAGGGAGAGCTGGCTTTGAAGGGGAAAGAAAAGTGCACTGGTGGTGTGATGATGGGGGGTGGGATGGGGCGGGGTCTTCAGAGCGTCACAGGCTTTGGCAGCACTGCAGTTTGTTGCCCTTCTGGCCGTCAGTCGTCGGCGGGACGCTGATGTCTACTACGTTGTTACCCGGAGACTCGTCGTGTCCAGATCTGTCAGCTATCTGCTTCTGTGAAACGACGCGGTAAATTTCTGGAGGGGGGGGAGGGATAAACAACAAGATATTAACAATAAGAATGAGACGCTGCTGAATATGATTCATCTCTATCTAATCCTGTTCTTGGAAGTTATCTTCACTGCTGTGGGATCTGACCCGTCACCCACTGAAGGAAATCATGCTTCACCAAAACAGACCCTGGGTTAAAAAAAAGCCTTGAAAACTTGAGGATAAAATATTTCAAATGTGAGACGTTTCCCTCTTTGGTGAAGATTGTTACAGCAGCGTGTTAAACATTAAACATGTTTCCTGTCTGAGCCTGAAATCTGTTCATTTATTCACTCATTGCCACATAAACCACAGCAGTGCGCCCCCTACCTGTTAAAATGTTCTTGAACGCCTCTTCTACGTTTGTGGAGTCCAGCGCCGACGTCTCAATGAATGACAGAGTGTTCTTTTCTGAGGAAAGGAGAAGATGGATAATATTTCAAATTGTATTGTGGTCGAGCTTTGATGACACAGAAAAAAAAGAAATCCACAGATGCACCATGGACTAATTAATTTACGCAGGCAAAAGAAAAAAATGTTCCTGGTAAACTTCCGTTTTCTCAGTTTATTTCTCCTCAGGCAGGCAAACAGAAAACATTTTCTCCATTATTCTCTTGAGCTGGTAAAAAAAAAAAAAACATACACCCACCCAGATGCATGCTGGTCCTCCCATTAACAGCCTACAGTATTAATAAAAATAATTCACCCAAATTAATCATAAACTAACCAGAAACAAAGAAACATGACTAAATAACCAAAAACCATAACAGATATCAATGAAGTAGAATAAACTTAGCTAGATTACCCACTAAAACAAGAAACTTTGTTGATTATTAACAAAAAAATAATTGGCTCCTAAATATTTCTGCAGAATTAGAAATAGAAAATTCAGCAGGAATTCGGAGCCGTTTACCTGCGAACGCTCGCGCCTCGTCGGTAGGAACGGCCCTGAGGTGGCGGAGGTCGCTCTTGTTCCCCACCAGCATGATGACGATGTTGTTGTCGGCGTGGTCCCTCAGCTCCTTCAGCCAGCGCTCCACGTTCTCGTACGTCAGGTGCTTGGCGATGTCGTAAACTAGGAGCGCTCCCACGGCCCCCCGGTAATACCTTAGGGTAAGGGAGGAGGGGAAAGAGTAAGCAGGATGATATCAAATACAAAAGGATGTTTTAAATGTTTAACATCTATAATAAATGGCAAACTGTGTTGCTCTTTTCCTGTATATACAGAAATATAACCAGAATTATCTGCTGAAAAAGCCAGATAATTAAAGGAACTTACATGGCAATTAAAACAGAGCATAAACATCAGGACAACCTGAAATACAATCTTTAACCAGAAGACATATTTCTAAATCAAACTAATACAACATCAACTCACGCTGAGGTGATGGCTCTGTAGCGCTCCTGTCCCGCCGTGTCCCAGATCTGAGCCTTTATTGTCTTTCCGTCCACCTGGATGCTGCGGGTGGCGAACTCCACCCCTATGGTGCTCTTGCTCTCCAGGTTGAACTCGTTTCGGGTGAAACGGGACAGCAGGTTACTCTTCCCCACACCTGAGTCTCCAATCAGGACAACTGGAAACAAGCAGAGAGGTGAAACATTTGATTTAAATTGAAGTAAATTCAGGCGTTGAAAGTTTTAGTTGTTCCAAAAAATACCTCCAACTTTGATTGTTTCTACAACTTTATAGAGTGCAGAGTAGTGCTGCATAGGGCTGACACATTTCATTATTGTTAATTATTACGTTGGACGATTAATGGTGATTAATCAATTATTGAAATAACTGTCAAATAATTATTAATCGATTAATACTTAACTGACATATAGAGACTGTAAAACATACTTTAAGCTGACCGAGCAGCCCACTTAGAGCAGTAATTATATCAAAATTGTAAAATTATATTTATATACATATATATATATATATATATATATATATATATATATATATATATATATATATATATATATATATATTCTCTTTCCAGTTTCACCTGGGTTAATCTTGTAAAAAGTCTTCTTTAAGGAACCTTTTGCTATCTGATTATTAATTGAAAAAAATAATCAACAAATAAATCGATTTAAAAAATAATCGTCAGTTGCTTGCCTAGTAGTGCAGTGTTGCCCCTCCCCTGCCTGCTGCTGCTTAGCTGGTTGAATAATGCCGTAATCTGTTTCCATCACTTTTGGAAAAAGCTCCAATCAGACTTTTCCCAGCTGCCACCATGTTCCTTTAGCCTCTGAATGATCTGCTTATCCTGACTTTTTAAAATTGTTTCAATATAATAAACATCTTGCTCACTCTGCAGGCTTTGATATAAAAGTAGTTTTAAATCTAACTGAAAATAAAGCAATACAGATTAATGCCTCAAAGCATCCCAACCCTTCATGGGATTTTTTAGTAAACAGAAGAAAATAGAATGAAGTTTAGTTTTGATTTAGTGCTGAAACTAATGATTATTTTGCAAATTGATTAATCTGTTGATTATTGTTTTGATTAATCGATTAGTAATTGGATAGCCCAAAGTTCCTTAAAGAAGATTTTTTACTAAATTAAACCAGGTGAAACTAAAACTTTGCCACTTAAGGAGTTCTCAGTAGAGAATATTAACAGAAGAAAATGTTTTAAATTTTCACAGATTTTTTTTTTTAAATCCTGATATAACTGCTGCTATAAGTGGATCGCTCTGTCAGCTAAAGGCATGTTTCAGAGTCTCTATACTGTGGGTAACGATTAATTGATTACTAAATTAGCGGATGATTATTTCAATAATCGATTAATAACAATTAATCTTTCTTTAGCCCTATTTTGATTTTAATTCAATAACTTTATTATTATTTATTATCATGGGGGCGTGTTGGTTAGAGCAGTGTGCTTGTGCACTGAGAAGGTTGAAAGTTGCTGGTTCGATCCCCAAGGCCTGCCACTCTGGGTTCCTGAGCAAGATCCTCAACCCCACACTGCTCCCCAGATGCCGCACGATGGCAGCCCACTGCTCTCCAAGGGGAGGGGTTAATGCAGAGAAAGAATTCCCCCATTGTGGGACAACAAAGGGATTTCGGAGTTTTTTATTATTGTTCTACAACAGAAAACAACTGATTTTGTAATCAGGATGGAGATCTGTCCTTTTGGAGAACACTAATTAGACAATCATGGGTGTTCTTATGCAATGATGTTGTAGGGTGTTTATTTAAGGTTAAAGTCACAGCTCCATGTCTGCAATAGATACACACTGCAAAAAACATAAATCTAAATAAGACATTTTTTCTTAAAATAAGTGCATTTATTCTTGAATTGAGAAGGTTAGTGAAACACTTTTCCAATGGAACAAGACAATTTATGTTTAAAATAAGAAAAACTGATTGCAGTGTCTTATTTCAATAACATATTATCTAATTATCTTATTTTAAGAATAAAAAGACTCATTCCATTCACTCAAATTAAGGGTACATACATTTAATCTAAGGTATTCTTACTTATTTCTTGATAGTTTTCGTAGTGCATGACAGATTTCAAAGTGAAAGTCTCTGTTCTAACTGCAGAGGAATAAAACTGGACTGTTGGGAATCAGGCAGGAAGGAGCTGCCAATAGCCGCTCTCTAGAAATCTGACTCAATGCTTTCTCAAGACTTCTGTTCCTGTGTCATCCTGACGAGTCATCAGTATTCTCCAGCCGGGGCCCCCCGCCGGCCCCAGGCTGGGGCCCTTTAACTGCTTTAAATTAATGATCATCTACAACAGGGTGAACGTCTATCTTCCTAACTCATTGTAAAATTGAGTTTGAGTATAATAATAAACTAAGGAACACAGATATGCAATATTCAGTGATACATTAAGACTTCTTCATCCCAACCAGGTTAACAGGAAATAGAAGTGGCTCTAGATCCAGTCTGATTAGATCCAACTTTGTTTGGTAAAGAAATGAGTCCAGATAGATTCAGAGATCAAACTGAAATCTACCTTAGATCAGAGGTCATTAGAAACCTGACAATAGAAAAAAACAACAATGGAGTTTCCTCTTTCTTCCTTTCAGAGGGTGTGAGTTTCCTCCCTGAGGGATCAAGTATCCAACTAAGCTTTTTTTTTTTGCTTAAAAAAATAGGCAAACAGAAAAATGGACACGGTGGCTTTCTGAAAAAAACAAAACAATATTTGTATTTTAGTTAAAAGTAAAATCTATTTTTAAAAGATGATCCAGTGTTTAAACAGTATCAGTTATAATGCCATCCTTCTGACCACAGCAGGACAAACCATTAGCCTGCAGGACTCACTGCTAAACTATCGCTCTGCTTCTATAAAAATGTTTGAAGAACAAACAGTCAGACTGAACACAAAGACAAGCTGCCACACCTAAACTAAATGTGAACAATGGATTTATTAAACAAGGGAAGTGAGTCAACAGACAACGAAAACATCTCTGCTAGCTACCGTTAGCTGATGTTTACGTAGTTAGCCTGCTAATTTGAAGAATGGCTCTTAAAGGATTCTAATGTCAGTCTGTTTTATTTACCTTTGAACAAGAAATCATACTCATCATCTCTGTTCCCCATTGTGTGGTTGAAAAGGCTCCAGGAGAGAGCGGCGGTTACAGAAAGTAGTTCCCCGCACTGACCAGGGTGGTGGTGCGCCGCGATGACAGGAGCGGACAATGCGCAGATTGCGTAAGAGGTGCAGAATCGCTACGTGACGTGACGGTACGTAGCTTCTTCAGCTGGAGAATGTAGGCTAAAAAGTCCCGAGCGGTCAGGTTTGTTTAACAAAATACAGCTTTTCAGAAAGAAATGTTTATCTACTGTCATTACTGGAAATCCGCCTGAGAAACCGGAAGTTCCTCTTTCAGTTCTACTGGTTGGCATGACAACTATCTGTTAGGAACCATTACTTCTTTGAAATACTTCACAAAAAAATAGCATTTCCTGCTCCGCTTGATTGCAGTTCCCTAAACATCCATTCATCCATCCATCCATCCATCCATCCATCCATCATCCATTCATCCATCCATCCATCCATCATCCATCTATCCATCCATCATCCATCCATCCATCCATCCATCCATCCATCCATCATCCATCCATCCATCCATCCATCCATCCATC